CCCCCCCCCCCCCCCCCCCCGCCTCTCCCAACAAGGAGGAGCTCCTGGTGGCCCCAGACCACTCACCTGGGGACCCCTCCCCATGCCACCTCACACGGAGCTGGCAGCCAGGTCTCTGCCCTCTGGGCTTGACCCGCCCACAGCCTGTGGGTCAGCTCGGCGTTCCCCTCCCCTTGGCTTCTCAGCCAGGTCCTCAGAGTCTCCAAAACTTCCCTCTCCTCTCACTGCCCGTTCTGCTCCCGGTTCTCATGGCCGCCCGAGCTCTCCAGCCCCCCTGGCAGCCACTCCGAGAGGGGCAGCCCTGCAGGCCAGCTGCCTGCCAGGCCCACCTCCTCCACAGCCGATCCAGCTTGGGTGCCCCTCCAAGGCTCCAACGGATGCCACCTGCTCTTGCTGTCTGCCTTCTCCTGGACTCCCTGGAATCTCCAACCTGCTTCCCTTTCCCCTGTCACCTCCAAGGAGCCAGGTCCCTCTCATGAGAGGTGTGCCCCACCTGTGCCCTGAGTCAGCCCACCCCTGCCAGTTCATCTCCTGAGGTCTCCAGGTGAAGCCCATGGTCTTCTGCTGGGAGCCATTAGCCAAGTAGGTATGACAATTTCCTTGCCAGCGTACCCCATGTTGCTTAGTGGAAGGACTCGTGGAAATAGGACATTTTGCAGTGACATTGCATGTAGGTGACCTTGCTCAAGGACCAGGGCGGATCCGGTTTAGGGTGTTCCCGGTTTATAATCCGGGTTTAGGGCGTTCCCGGTTTAGGTTCCAGGTTTAAGGTTTAAGGTTATTCCTGCTGGGAATAGGGCGTATCCTGCTGCCTCAGTTCCCCTTGAGTTCTCATGGGATTCAGACAGTATTTTTTGGGAGACAGAAGCCCAGTGGAGGTGGATTTGGGCAGAGAACGTGGATTTCCCCAGAACGTGATTGTAGACGGCTGGTGTGAGTTCGGGAATAAAGAGTTGCTGTTTGAATCTACAAGCTGTGTGGTGGCTCGTGATTGGGTGCCCAGCCAGACTGCGGCAGTCTTCTCCCCGTCACTCCCCACCCCTGGCAAAGAGCACACCCCACACCTGGATGTTGTTTCTAAATGAATTCCCCCAAACTAAGAACCAGGCTCCTCTTCAAACGGCCGATTCCAGGGCTGGAAAGAACACCATGAGTCCAAAAATTTGGAAGTGCTCACAGTGACAGAGCAGGTGGAAGGGACAAGGGGAACTCTAAGGACCCCCATTGGCCAGAACTGGGAGCCGCTGTTCCTGCCACAAAAGGACATCAGCGGGAAAACGGGGGGGTCTGAGCCAGAGCTGTGCAAGGTCAGCCAGGCGATGGTCCTCCAAGGTCACGTAAGACGGTGACACTGCAGAGGCTGGAGGACAGCACTGGGATTGCTGTGCTCTCTTTGCAATGAGAGAGTTATTTGGAAATGACAGTTCAGGGCTGGGGTGCAGCTCAGTGGTAGAGAGCTTGCCTAGAGTGTGGGAGGTCTTGGGTTTGATCACAACAGTGATTAAAAATTTTAAAAAGAAAATGGTAGATTTAAAAAAAAAAACTCATTTTAACAATGCAGCTCTGGCCTGGGGTGCACCTCCCTGGGCTCTGCCTGTCCTGCCTGGCCCTCTATGGCTGCCAGAGCATCTTCAGCTCTGTCCTACCTCCCTTCCTCCCTCGGAGCAGGGGGAGGAGGCAAGCAGTGGCCTGGGTCTCTAGGCCTGTGGCCCAGGGGACCCCCAGAGATGGTGTGTGGCCCATCCCTGGTGGACGCTCCCGTGGGCTCCATGCCGCAGCATGTCTGGGCCACAGGCGTTTGGCACTGCCCACAGCAGAAAGGCTGGGAAAGCAGAGTCAATGGTGCCACCAGCCGGGCCCGGCAGAGCTGAGAGCCTCCGGTCTCCCTCCCTGACTGCTCTCCCAGGCACCACCAGGTCCTGAGCCTTCTCACACCCTCTAGGGACCTACTGCTGCCTCCAGACCAAAGCTCCCACGCGAGGGGCTCTGCTTCCCGAGCCCAGAGGGCCTTCTCGGCAGGACCCTGCCCCTCTCCCGCAGCCCGTGCCCCCACCCCTGCCTCTCACACATCTGCTCCTCCTCTGCCTGCCATGCAGAAAGCCTGTTCTGGAACCCAGCTGCACACACACCTTCACACACGCACTTCTGTATGCACAGGAGAACCCATGCACCACCCGTATCCACACGTGTCCTCCCACACACACCTGCGCAATGGTGCCCAGTGTCCAGGCAGACGGGCTCCAGGACCCCTGAAGACACAAAAGCCCTGGTGCTCCAGGCCCTTCTGCAAAATGGTGCATTAGTGCATAAACCCTGCACGCCGGCTCCGCACTGTGGTCCATCTCTAGATCACAGTGACGCCTGACACAGCGCACGTGCTGTCTAAATAGTTATCATGTTGTGTTATTTAGGGACTAATGAGGAGAGAACCGTCTGTACACATTTAATGCACACACAATTATTTTTTTTTTTATCCATGGTAGGTTGAAGCTGTGGATGCAGAACTCAGAGATGCAGAGGGCCAACTGTATACACACACAGCTCCCACAACACACATGTGGGTGCCCACACATACCTATACACACAACAGCTGCACACCACAGACCACCCAGATGCACACACCCACACACACAGGGGTGCACACGTCCTACACACGCACACAGATGCTCCCAGGCCGTCCACCCTGCAGGCGGGCGCAAGGCCACGGGCAGCCTGGCCCTCCTCTTAGCCCCACAGTGCCTCACACACGTCTCTGCAGCATTTATGCTGCTGTGAATCATTTCATAGAAAAACTACTGCTTTTTAAATTTTCTGTCCCTTGTGCAGTTCCTACCAAAGAAGTTTGGATTTATTCTCTTGACCCTTCTTCAACAATATATTGAATACAAAGAAAATATGTGAGAACCCACAAGTCTCAAGGAGGGGCGGAGGGGTGGGAAGGGCGCCAGGTGACCAGGACAGGCCTTGAGGCTGGCGGGGAGGCCCCATTCCCAGCAGGCAGGGACCCTGCAGCCAGCTCCCCAGAGGGGCATGGGTGGGTCCCCTGCACCCTCCAGAGATTCCAGACTTCTTTGGCCAAAAGGGAAACTAAGGTGGAAAGTATGTGGGGGGGCACAAGCATGCATAGGTGTGGGTGTGTGTGAGTGTGGGGGTGTGAGTGGGCAATGTCCCTGCAGGTGTGTGTACCTATGTGTGCGAGGTGCGGGCATGTGGGTGTGTGCATTAGTGTGCCTCAGGGTGTGGTGTGGGCATGTGTGTGTGTGTGTGAGCCTATGTGACAACCCAGGGCTGCGGGGTGGGGGCTTCCTCCCGCTGGCCCGAGTGGCACCTGGAAAGTCACCTCCCGCTGCTCGCCGAGGTCCGTCTTGTTGCCGACCAGCATCACCACGCCCTCCCCTGGGTGCAGCTCCTTCTCCAGGTCTGCCAGCCACTGCCGGGCCTTGTGGAAAGAGTCCTGGAGGAGAGAGGGCTGTCGGTGGGCCTGTGGTGGCCTCCGGTCCAGGGCGGCAGAGCAGGCCTGGCACAGGCTGCGGATGTCCCAGGATGCCGTGGGCAGTTCCAGCCCTGCAGGGCTTCTCAGTTCCTCCAAGGTGGGTGGCCGGCCTGCTCCCACCCTGGCTGGTGTCTGCAGCCAGGCAGCCAGCTGCAGGGGCCCAGGGACAGGAACACAGGGTGTTTGGGCCAGGGGCCTCCACCCCTGGAACATTTTGTGCAGGAAAGTAGGGGGCGTCCACCACTCCAAACCCTGCTCCTAACTGCATTAGACCAAAGACCAGGTAAGGAGTCTCCACCTGGCCCCTGTAGCCCCTCCTGCCCCCCAACAAGGAGGAAGGAGGCCCTGCTCTCCTCACTGCGCGGCCACTGCATTGCCCACCCTCTCTGGATCCCACCCTGCTCTCTCACCCAGGCCCCTCTCACCTTCCCCCAGGCCCACTGCCCCCCCCAGTATGGCTAGTTCCTACCTCCCAGGCTGGGCCTGCAGCCCCCATGAAGCCAGCCCCTCCCTCCCATCTCCATGGTCTCTGTGGGGGGCTGTGTCCGTAACAGCCCCCCCATCTCAGTGCACTAGTGAGTGTGGAAGACACTGCCCTGCGCGGGGCCTGCTGGGCCAATCATGGAAGAGCAGAGGCAAGTGCAGGGTCAGGGGAGTCAGGTGGCGAGGGCGCATGGACGTGGTCTCTGTAGTCATGATTGTACCACAGACTGTGGGGCCAGCCCAGCACGAGTCCTTCAGAAGACGCTGCACTGCCTGGGAGACCAGGGTGGACCACGGTGGACCCGGAGAGCCCGGGGCATGCCTCGGGCAGCCCTACCTTCCTGGTAATGTCGTACACCAGCAGCGCGGCATTGGCGCCCCTGAAGTAGAGGTGGCAGACGCTGTGGTACTTCTCCTGGCCAGCCGTGTCCCAGATCTCAAGCTTCAGAGACGAGGCTCCCAAATCCACCACCTTTGTGAAGAACGCACCTGGAACAGGGCAGGCGGGCGTTCCCTGAGAGGAGGAGGCTCTCAGTGGGATCCGGACAGCTCTGTCAGTGACCAGTCAGCAAGGCTGGCCACGTGCTGTGCAGGAGCTCCTGACCAAGCCCAGAGTCATCTGTCAGTGCACCCGGTGCCTGGTAGAGTCCCAGAAGCTCTGGGCCGAGGGTGCCACTCAGGGACCCAACTCAAAGCTCTGAACGGCGCAACTTGAAAGAGGTGTCCCATGACCAAGAACCCCACACAGCTCTGCTCCCAGCATTGCAGCGGAGCTCTGGGGACCCTGGAGCCCCTGCACCTAGGGCCACCCTGCTCCCCTGCCTGTCCTGCGGGGAGGCCCTCAGATCCCACCATCAGCTGGCCTCACCAGCCTTCCCATCGCCACTGGGTACCAGCCGCCCCCTCTGCTGCCCCTACTTGGTGTCCCTTCACTTCACCTAGAACACTCTCCAAGTCTGCAGAGGTCGCCAGTCCTCAGGGGAGCTAGGGATGTCCTGCTGCAGCCTCTAGGAACCCTGCACACACCCAGAGGCCCACGGAGCCTGGTGTTCTCTGCTCCCAAGGGAACAGGGAGGCCGTGGAGGCAGGACGATCCTATTCCCGCACCTACTTAATCATGGCATGAAGATCTACTTGCGCATACTGGGCACTCCGTGTTTCAGTTGAAGACTTTTTTCCCAAGCTTTCCAAGGTGATGTGATTTTAAAATAGTCATTTAATAGCAGCAAAATGTTTTGTGCCATGGTGTGTGGCTTGTGGGGGGATCTAGAGGGGAAGAGTGAGGAGGGGGAGATGTCGGGGCATGAAGGGGTCAGCAGAGACCAACAGGCTCCTGCCAGCACCCTGGCCACCCACCCAGATCCAGGGTGGGAGTGGAGCCCATTGGAGAGATTCTGGCAGCCACATGTTCAAAATTAAAACTTCCACTCCAAGGATAGCATGTGAGTGTCCTGGGGCTGCAGTAACAAATGGCCACAAACTGCGTGGCTTTAAACAAAGCAGATTTATTCTTCCAGTTCTGGGGGGCAGGGTCTGCTTCTTCTGGGGAATTGAGGCTGAAGCCATTCCCTGCCTGACTTCAGCTGTGGGGCTGGCCAGCCTTCCTCGGTGCTCCCTGACTTCTAGACACATCACCCCAACCTGTCTCCAGTACACATGGCCTTCCCTCTGTGTCCCTGGGTTCTCTCCTCTTTCTACAAGGACACCAGGCACTGGACTCAGGGACCATCCTAAGTCCGGGAAGAGCTCATCTCAACTCATAACGTCTCAAAGACCCTAACTCCAGTAAGGTCACACTCCCAGGCTGTGGGGTTAGGACTTGGTGATATCTCTAGGGGACGCAGTTCCACCACAGACAGAGCCCAGGGCTGAACAGACTTCCAGCGTGGAGCAGGAAGATCCTGATTCTCTCCTGGAGAATGGAGTTGGGGTAGGTCCTCCAGAGAAGCAGCTCTAAGCTCTTCCGCCCACTCGTCCACATTTTCCTGCAGGGCCATGGACTTGAGATTAGACTAACGAGTTCAGTCAAGCAGCGGCCCTCGTCTGGACAGCTGCAGCTCACACAGGCCACTGTCATGCCTGAACATGAACCACCAGCACAGCAGGCTCCCATTCGTGGGCCCTGGGTGTGGTCCACAGCTGTGAGGACCTAGGCAACTTGCTCCAACTCCCCACGTCTCAGTTTGCTCTTCTCAAAGGCAAGCAAATGGTACCCGCTACCCAGGTGGCTATAGAACTGCATGAGAAGACAGGGGGCACCGGTTCTGGTGCATCGATTTCTACTTCCTCTTCCTGTCTTCTTGGCTCTCCCTGGAGTCATCACCCAGCATCCTCACCTTTCACCCACACCGTGTCTGTCTGTGCACCACCTTTTCAGACCACATATCTGATTTTGAACTTGCTGTATTTAGAAGTTGTCACAGCCAGGCACAGGCGGACATAAAGCTCAGGTTCACGTCTTCCATTTACCAGCCTTAGCTGCTCAGCTTCTTCTTTTCCACTTTAAAAATGGTGCCCAAGAGTTGTGTTTAGATGGGTGCAAAACCCGGACAAATTTCCAAGGAGTGCAGTCTAAGCAGTGATGGCACCAGGTGAGTGTTTGGATGCTCACTGAGCCCAGAATGACGTCTTCCCTGGAGATGGGAGGAAAGCGCTGTCACTCCAGCCCTGCTTTGCCCTCACACCCCAGGCAGGCACCAGCCAAGGCACGTGCAAGGTGGCCGAGTGTGGAGGGGACACCGATCTCAAACCTGCCTCCTGAGCCTAGTGTTCGGGCACGTCCCTGGGATTGAGGGGTGATGAAGGTGTGGGGAAGGCGATGGGGGGAAGCAGTGGTCTCCCGTGTGTGAGCCAGCTCCATGGCTCTTGGAGAACGTGTTTTCTAAACATGGCAGTGTCCGCGTGACCTGAAGGTAGAGCTTGGGGCCTCCTGACATCAAGAAGTCCCTGTCAGACACCGGTGCTGGCCCAAGTGAAGAGTTGGTGTTTTTGACAAAAGTCACCTTGGACTCCCTGAAAAGTAACCTAGGCAGCCATTACTGTCACGACCCCCAGGCCCTAAGGGTGCTCCACAGCAAAGCTAGTGGGAGACTCAAGATGTTGTGTGGCCTCCAAAATCTGTGATTTTTAAAGTCAACTGAAGAAGGGAAGCCACCAAAAGCAGGTGAAGCTATAGGGCTTAGTTAGGTTCTCCCTCCCTTCAGGCAGGTCCCAGTGCAGGTTTCTGAGGCCACCTGGGCCTTGGGGGCTTGCTGCAGCCCAGGAGAGAGCACAGAGGTACCACCTTCTGCTTTCAAATCGCCATTGACTCCGTTTTCTATATCTGCACAGCTAAAGCCAAACGTGATCGAAAAATACATTCCTGCACAGGTGTGGTGGCACACACCTGTAATCCCAGCCACTGGGGAGGCTGAGGCAGGAGGATCACAAGTTCAAGGCCAGCCTGGGCAACTTAGCCAGATGCTGTTTCAAAATAAAATAAAAAGGACTGTGGGTGTGGCTCAGTGGCAGAACACTGGCCTAGCCTGTGAGGGGCCCTGGGTTCAATCCCCAGCACCACAAAAATAAATGAGTAAATTTCTAGGAAACCCAGATATACTTGGAGGTTTTACCTGAAATGATATTAGGTGTAAGGCAGGTCATCTGGGGCCAGAAGGAGCCATGAGCCGGGAATCTTTTTTTTTTTTTTAAGAGTCTCTAGAATCTGCTCGTCCAAATAACACAGTGGCATGGTATTAATGAGTTGTAACGTGACCTGGGGCCACCTGGGGCCATGTCTCACCATGGCCCATAGAGGCACAAGCCAGTTTCCTCCTCCTCTGCCTGCTTCTATAAGCCCCCGTGGACACTGAACAACAGGACAGGAATTCAGAGTGCAGAGAGGGGATGCACTCTAACTTGTGTTCCATCGCCCCAAACCAGACTGTGCCTGAACTCAATTTTAATATCATTAAAGTGTTTTGGCTTTGTTACAGAATCTGCTCATTTGAATGCTCTCTGTATTGCTCGCCAGTTAGTAAAAATTATAACCTGCGTAGAAGGTGAAGCATGAAATGCACATCTCTTCAGGGTCCAAGCACATCAGCAGAGTGCTGAGTTCCACAGGGAAGTGAGCTGGTCACATCAGATGTGTTCTTCACCCATTTGTCACCGTCCCCTTGGTATATAAAGCCCAGTGGGCCTGGGGGAAGCTTGAGGCACCTCCAGGACAGCCCCTGCAGCCCAGGGAAGTAGGCCAGAATGCCCCCCATCTGGGCCAATGGAACTTGGGATGGGGTGATCGCCGGGGAGCGCTGGGTGGTCCCAGCCCATCCTGGCCAGTGGCTACTCCTGCCCAGGGCAGCCTTCCCCCTCCATCACGCCCTCTCCTATGGTGGTATCGATCCTCTGTGGCTGGGGTAGCAGGAGATAAAGGGAAGATGGGCTGGTGGCCCCTGGGAGACCCCGCTCTGGCGCTGCTCCTCTGGACAGCCCTTTGGCTTCTCAGCTTTGGGGACTCAGTTTGTCTGTCACCTCTCCTCCTTTTCCTTGGGGTGGGCCACGTCTTTCCCAGGGATGGCCAGGGAGCCCAGTCCTGAAGCTCTGCAGAACCACTCAGTGAGGGACCCAGGGACCGGTCAATCTCCCAAAGGACCCTGGAGCTGGCCCTGCCCTGAAGTGGCCCCACCTGGGACACCATAGGCCCTGGCCCCATGCTTGCTCTGGGGATGAGGACAGCACCCACAGTCACCATAGAGACTGGCTCTGCAGTCCTCACCCTCACTGATAAAAGCCACACGTGAACAAAGAACGGATCAGTGCAGAAGGCTCTGCCCAGCACAGGACCCCTCCCCAAACCAGAGGCTACAGGGGGTCACGTCCCTCCATCTCCTCACCTGAGAAGCGGGAAAACACTCTTAGCAATAATAAAACAACAGGAACAATATCAAACTTCACAGAATAAGACAAACATAACATACAAAGGATACAATATTTGTTTACATTATAATGTGACAATTATAATAATGTAGCAATTTCCAAGGACAGCCGGAGCATGTGCCGTATCTATCCCGAGTCTGAAGCCTGTGGAGACTTGCATGACTCAGACACTAGGACAGAATCCAGGCCACTGTCCCCACAGGAACACTGTTCTTGCGTCCTAGAGACAGGGCTCCACCTGGTGTATAAAGGTGAACAGGGAACTGCCCTGCCCAGGGAGCTGGGTGGTCGCAGGTTGACCTAATCTGGATGTCCTCTGCCTCCCTTCTAGACGATATCCCACAGGGACAACAGTGTGACAAAGGCCACAGCACCACAGGCACAGTCCTGCCCAGATAAGAGGTTCTTCCCTCCACAGAGACAAACCCAGGCCTGGGGGAGGGGACAGCCCACTAGAGGATGGCCCCAAGGGCTGGGGAGGGTACTAGAAATAGGGGCCATCCAGGCCTGCCCCTGCAGCACAGGCCTGGACGGTGAGCCAGGACCTCTCAAAGGGCCCAGCCCGCGTCTACCCTGCTGACACTGGGTGTCCCCCTAAAGAGAAGGTGAACCAGGGACAGGGAGGGCCAGCGGAGGCAGACTCCTGGCCCCGGGCTGCCCGGGAGCAGGGCGGTAAGGTGATGGCTGAACCAGGCCTGGGTGTGACCCCCCCACACAAGGCCTTCAGATTAGGAGTTTTTCCTTAAAAGAGGAAAAAGTCCCCAAGAGGACACCAAATAACCTATAATGTTGTGAGAAGCTGTGGGTCAGAGCTCAGTCTGGAGTTTTGTTTCTCCGGGCCGGTGGGGGGAAAATAAAGTTCGTTGTTCTCTCAGAGTGCTGCTTGCTGCTTCTCGACCGTCTGTTTCCCTGACAGCAAGGCCTCAGCCCACTGTCGGAGGCTCTGCTCCCTCTCGGTCACCCTGAGGCTCAGTGAGCAGTGCGTGCAGGACCCTCCCGACGCAGGGAGATGGCCCCGTGCATGGAGCCCCACCCTCCACTCCCTGCACGTCGCTGCCCTGTCTGCGTGCATCCTCCATGGGGCCTGCTGCCTCCAGGGTGCTGGCCCTGCAGACAGCTAGGCCAGGTCACAAGCCTGTCAACGGCGCTGAAGCAGGTATTTCAGGCTTTGTGGGCCACAAGGTCACTGCTGCAACTACTTAGTGCTGCTGCTACGTCAGGATGAACAAAGAAGGAAGCCCGTCGTTCACAGAGCACAGTAACCAGCAGGCACAGCTGTTCCCACAGGTTCCCACGGGCAGGCTGGGCCCGTCTGGCCATGAGCCATCACCGCAGACCTCGAAATCAGAGCGAGCTCCAGCCCCAGAACCAATCAAGCTGGCAGGGGCTAGCACCTACTTCCTCCCTCCCGCATCATGTCCCTGACCACCCAGGGACATGGCCCTCACCGTCTGGGTTTAGTCCTGTGGTCTCCCATCTCAACTCAGGCCACGCTGCTGTATTCTGAAAGGAAGCCCGAGTCCAAAATCTTGGGCGAATGGCGTGGGGGCGTGGATGTTCTTGCTAACAGAGAGGGGTGCAGCCTGCACAGCTGGCCTGAGTGGACCCCTGAGGCTCTCCTCAGCTCCCTCTGGAGCAGTCCCTTGCTGGTCACTTCCCACCCTTCACCCCACTCATGGCCCTGCGGCCTTCAGGAGCCACGCCCTAGGGACAGGGAAGGGCGCCCACTCTGCCAGTGCCCTGTGCTGCGTTTCGTAGCCGTTCGTGTTTGCTACGTCTTCATCCTGCTGTGGAACTCTCCGTGCCTAATGCAGGCCAGGGACGGCGTCCACGCTCAGACACTCATCAAGTGACTGAACACACGAGTGAGAGTGCTTCCCTGTGGCCGAGTGCCCATCTGAACCGAAGCCCTGCTGCTGAACACACTGTCCCCCCCTAAGCTGCCTTTGGAGAGGACAGGCATAAAGAGCACACTGGATTCCCTATTTCAGTTGGGAACTGGGCATGGCAGCCAGGCAGGATGCACCCAGAGGAGGTAAAGGGGCCAGCAGCCTGCAGATGCCCTGAGACACTCTCCTCTGAGACTGTGAGGTGCCAGCCTCCTTAAGACGCTCAGGAGAAGGTCTTCCCTCCAGGCCCCCACCCTCGTGGCCCACAGTCCCTCCCCAGTCCAGGCCCGGCTAGGAAACCAAATCCAGGCAGAAAGGGAGCCTCTTTGGGGATAAATTAACTAGGGAGTGGGGTTTGCAGGCCAGTCGGGTGGCTCAGTGGGCAGATCCAGGCAAGTCCTTCCTCTGGGTCGCCCTTCACTAGACCATATTTCCCCAGAGCTGACCCTGAACCCCCCACCCCATGCAGACCCCAGCTGGGCTGGCGCCTGTCTCAGAGGCAGGGCGTGTACCTGCCCTGCTGGATTCTGTTCCGCATGCCTGACCTTGATGGCACCTCAGCTGTCCCCACCCCACGCCTGGTGCGCATGCTGAGCACACTCAGCTGGGACCCAGAACCGCGGGGGCTCCAGGGTGCCCACCCAGCCTGCCCCTGTGGGCTTCCCGCTCTGCCCTGCACTCACATCCCACAGTCGGCAGGACACTCTTGAAGTCGTCCTTCACGTACCGGAGCACCAGGCTGGACTTGCCCACGGAGCCACTTCCCAGGAGGACCAGCTTGGACACTCGGGGCTGGCCAGGGGCATCCCTGGGCGGGGTGAGTCCATCTGCCTGCGCCATCCCCTGCAAAGAGCCACAGACTGAGGCAGGCTGGGTGTCTGAGGCCAGATCCTGTCAGCAGGCTCGCCCGGCTGCTCCTGGGAGCACAGACGCCTTGAACAGAGCCGGTCAGCAGCGCCCTGGGCGGGCACCTGCCCACTCTGCACCCAGACCCACCTCCCCCACGTAAGCTGGGCCAGCAGGATCTACTTTGTATCCATTGTGAGGAGCAAAAGGAGCCGTGCCTGGAGAGTGCCCCTGCAGACGAAGGGCACAGACCTGACCTGACCAGCAAGGACCCTGCGCAGCTATTTGCTGGCGCACTTCCTAGTTACCAAAACCTCTCCCTAAAAAGTGCTGTCCCCGGGCCTCGTACATTTCAGTCTTTCTGGTTCTCTAGGACCTCGGAACCCAGCACCAGGCCCTGCAGAAAGCCAGCTCCACAGTCCAAATAGATGCATGTGAACCTGCACATTTGTCATCTGTAGAAACTTCTGCCCACACACCCCAGCAGAGAAGGGTCCCAGCGTGTACCCACACCCACTCCTGCAGTGACCAGGTCTGGCCCATGGTGGGCCACCCACACCGCCACCCTCCCCGTCAGGCTGAAGCAGTCTCCGTAGGATGGGAGTTCTCTTGCCCTTTGCCTTCCTTGCAAGGGGAACCAGGTGTCTGGCAGCCTTCCCCCCAGGTTTCCTGATGCACCGTGTGGCCACTGAACACCTTCCCTGGACCCTGCACAGTGAGACAGGGTCAGGCACACACTGTCCATTAGTAAAAATGCCTGGTGAGTGTGGCCAGCACACCCCTGAAAGACACACTGTATCTGTTCATTTCTGCACTGTTCAGTCATTGAAGACCACTGCGGTGTCTCCAGGGGGTGGCTACATGGTGACATTCTAATGTCTGTTTCTGATCTGGGCCACTTCTAGAAAGAGAGACACCCCCTAATTAACGTCCACACCATCATGGGGCAGCTGGGCCAGTCTGTGACCTCCTCTCCCTCCATGACCGGGAAGGGCCGGGTGTGACAGGCTGGGGAGCAAAGGCTCAACCCAGACAGGCCCGAATCCCCATGCCCACAGGCCTGTCCCAGGCAGAAAATGCCTGGACAGGGAAAGGGCCCAGGGAGAAGTCCCGAGGCCCATCTCAGGGGGATCCTTGTGGGATTCACCATGAACTGCGATGTTTCCAAGTTTCAGAGAAAAATCAGAAATATAAACTAATTGTTTAGATTTTTCGTTCATTCTTTAAAAAAAAAAAAAAAAAAAGCTACGTAGATATCCCAGCATGCAGCCATGGCTGAGAAACACAGAACTTTGTTTTCTTCAGGTCTGGTAATAGCATAATAGGTGCTCAATAAATACCTAAGGGCTGGGTGGAGGGAGAGACAAGGTGGAGCGCAGAGGAAGAATGTGTTACCCAGCACCTGTGTTTTAAAATGTTTGCCTGAACTGAGGCCATTGCTCAGGGCCTACAGGAGGTCAGAGTGGCTGAGGGAGGGCAGGACCAGCTCTGCCTGAGGAAGACAGCTGTGGGAGCCACCTGATTGAGACAGCGGCCCAGACCTGCCTGGCCACCCTGGAATTTCCTCATTTTTCAGACCCACAACAGCCCAGTGAGGGTCCTGGAAAGGCCCACTCTGCTCACCAGCGCCCACCAATGAGGCTCTAAGCAGCTCCTTCTGCATATGTCTGACCTACTCTAGATTCAACTCCAAGGTCAAAGTCAAACACACACTATGAGCAAGTGGAAAGCCTCTCAGAAATCAGCTGGCCTCAGGAATACAAGTCAACCCGGCCAGCCAAAGTGCAGACCAGAGTCCAGGGTCCTGAGCAAGCCCCAGGAAAGATAAGAAGGCCTCAAAGCTCATCAAGTCCACTGTCAAACAAACCTGGGAGTTTGCTCTGGGTCTCCTTGCCTTCCCTCAAGCAGGTGCAAACCTCTCTCTGCAACAGTCTCCTCTGGTCTCACAGCTGCTATCCACTGTGTCCAGCCCCCACACATACTGGTCACCGGAACAGACAAAAGTGCCTGCCAGGTGGAGCCTGCACTTCCCCGTTCTGTTCTTGGTTGAAAAGACCTGGTTTGATCTGCGTTGATTTGTGTAATTATACATGACTCCTCTCTCACTGGCTATAACTGCTAATAAGGGCAAGGACTGTGCCCATTGAACATACAGCAGGTGTTCAGCATGTAGCTCATAAATGAGGGACTGGCAAGGAGCCGTAACTGGACAGAGGAGCTGTTTCTGCCCTGTGGCTTTTATGACAGTCACACCTGGCACTTGTCAAGGAGTGGCTGGGGCAACTGCAGAGGGACACCAAAGGCCACCAGCAGGCACTGCAGGAGCGTCCCAGGGGCCACACGCAGGCCACCCTGCCCACAGAGCTCAGATAGGGCTGCAGGGTGCAGCCGACAGACCCTCCACCAAGAGGAGCAGGGCAGCCATGCCCTCTAGCCCCACCTGGCCATCTGCACAGAGCCCACGAGGCTGAGCAAGAAACCTGTGGGACCCACGTGACCCCATCCTAGAGCCCAGCAGCTCTCCCAGGACAAGGACGCAGACAGCAAAGCCCGGCACACTGTTCCAGCTCTGCCCCCTCGCTGGGCACCAGCGTCCTCCAGCCACTGGCAGAGAGCAGCAGTAAGTGCAGTAGTGGTCAGCCTCCCAGGGGGACCGCCAGACTCCCGGCCAAGAGAGGTTCAGCAGCCAGTCCTACTGAGAAACTGCTTCTTCTTTCTTCCTGTACTGGGGATTGAGCGAGATACCACTTTGAAGAATGAAATCTTTTAACTTTCCAGCTCACCCTTGTTTGTTTGTTGTTTTTTCTTCTGTGTGTATTAACTGGGATGAACTCAGGGGCTCTCTACCACTGAGCTACATCCTCATTTTTTTTTTTTTTAATTTTGAGGCAAGGTCTCACTAAGTTGCCCAGGCTGGCCTTGAACTTGGGATCCTGCCTCAGTCTCCTAGATAACTGGGATCATGGGAGCACCCTCACCCCACCAATACTTATTTCTTTTGTTTTTTTTTTTTATACCAGGGATTGAACCCAGAGGCACTTAACCACTGAGCCACATCCCCAATCTTTTTATTTTTTATTGTGAGACACGGTCTCTTTAAGTTGCTGAGGCTGACTTTGAACTTGTGATCCTCCTGCCTCAGCATCTTGAGCCACCGAGATTACAGGTGTGCACCACTGCACCTGGTTTAATGCTTGTTTCTTGATAGAGGTACATAGGCCACTCTCTGAGGAGAAAACACCTCATTGATCTGCACTGGGATCTATATCGGGAGTCCTAACATCCACGGGAGCACATTCCCAAGTTCCCAAAGGTGCTCCTCCAGGTTTCTTTGCTATTATTCCCACAGAGTAATAAAATTCATCTTAAAATTCAAGAAAATCTTTGGCCTAAACATGTGTGGATTATCCTGGATAGGTGGAATATGAATGAATGCCCCGCTACTGGGACACCAGGTTTGTATTTCTTGGATAAAATCCATGTCTGTGCTTAAAAAAAATACTCTTCACCAGGCACAGTGGCACACACCTATAATCCCAGTGACTCAGGAGGCTGAGGCAGGAGGATCACAAGTTCAAGCCCATCCTGGGAAAATTAACAAGACCCTCTCTCAAAAACAAAATAAGAAATAAAATAAAACAGTTGGTATTATGGCTCAGTGGTAGAGCACCCCCTTCTCTATATATATATTTGGTGCTGGGGATTGAACCCAGTGTGGGTGTATGTGTGTGTTTAAATATAAACATATTGTCAATATGTAAAAAAGGAAACTACCTATAGTCCCACACCCTCAGTACAACCACCAAGGAAATTTTGCCCATTCGATTTCCCATGCATCTTCAAAGCAAACTGAATCCCACAGTTTTAACATAAAGCATACATCTTGCCTTAAAAAAAAAAAAAACCCAGAACCTTAACATAACATCAAAGGCAGTGGTCCACGAGCACCTGTGCTTCAAGGCCGTATGTGTGATGTCTACACAGCTCCCTACAGCCTCTTACTGGATTTTCACTTGACTTAATCTCTTTTCTCTGTAATAAGTAAGACTGCAGTAAGCGTTTTCAAGTTGATGGTGTGTGGTAAGCTTTCAACAATGGGAGGTTGGAGCTCTCAATTCAAAGAGTAAACTGGGAGTCTGACCTCTGACCTGGCTCTGGAATTTACCGGAGGCTGTCCAAAGTCTCTCTGAGGCCAGGAGTCGGGGTTCCTCTTCTAGTCCTGACTGGGATGCTGCTTCTCACGAGCACACCTGCCTTCCACCAAAGGAGAAAGCAGGAGGCCAACCCCAAACTGGTCTTCACTGGGGGCAGGTCTGGTTTAAGGCTGCAGGGGCTGCTCCTCCTGTGTCCTCCTCCCCAGGCTGGAGAAGAACCCTGCATAGCTGTCTACGCTTCGATTCCCTCATGATCAGAACAATGTGGCCACTTAATACAGAAAAGTAAAAGCAAGACACCGTTAAAAAGAGAGTCCTAATGAGAAAATCTGGCGAGCTCACGAGACGTGACTGTCTGTACTGCTGAGCATCTTGACGTTACCAAAACGGATCCCTTGGAGGGGACAGCCTCTTACAGCAGTTCACACTCAAGGTCTTTCACTGGACACCTTCAGGGCGTCCATTCCAGAGAGCCAGCCAGCATCCAAACAAGGACAGCTCGGGTCCCGAGGAACCAAGGCCTCTGCTGGTCCCTTTGGTGATGACACCAGGACGCGTGCACACACAGACACACAGACACTCTGCAAAGCACGCAGCAGCCCCCACAGGGGCTCACCTGTTTCCCACGGTTGTTCACTCCTGAAAGCCCAAGGTCGTCCCCAGCAGGTCCGGAGGGCCCCACCTGTCTCCCTTCCTTCTTCCTCCTGGCCTGGGGAGAGCTCTGCTTCCCTTTCCTGGTGGGCTAGGCGGTGGCGGTGGCAGGACAGGAGGCTCTGCTGTAGGCAGCCTTGGGCAAGGGGTAGCTGGAGGTCAGGTCCCTTCCCTTCCCTTCCCTTCCCT